ATATCTATTCATCAGAATTTTTACCAGTTGGTTCTTTCCTCAATTAGAATAGTGCAGTTTTCCTGTAATAATTCACAGAAAGTCCATGCTGCTTTATGAACAATACCACCATAAAGTTAGGGTAACTAAAAACAAATCATAGATTACTTACAATATATTTTAGACATTTATCAAATGATCAAAATAAATTGTACTACTGATTTCTATGGGTTTGTTGAAAGGAACAGTTAATGCTTAACTGTTTTATCAATCTTGCATGCCTATGTTTGGTGATCTGAGCAACTATTTTGAAGATAATGATATGTAATTTAACAACTATTGTTAATTTCCTATCACCTTGTTTTGAAATTCTGTATCATTTTTATTGTTTTGTGTTGTTTTGTTTCTGACTTTGTGTTTGTTTTGGGGGGGTGTTTCTTTTCTCTTTAAAATAAAATTTTTAAAAACTGATCAGGATATTACATAGATAATATGATACGAATGAGCTCAATATTCAGGATCTCCAGAATCAACATACTAGCTCCTATGTGATTTTTAGTGTCTATTTTGAACACAGGCTGAGTTCACTATAAACAGCTTCAAACTAAAGAGGTGGGAACTAGAATTTGTGGTTTTTTTCCTTCTCCGCTTTCTTCCCTCAAGCCTCTTCAGGTCACTGCTGCCAAAATCAATCTCCTTCCTTCATTTTTCAGCCCAAAATCATATCCTGCTTAGAGTCTGTCTTTGGCATAACTTCCTAAATTCTAAGTTTCTTTCTACCCCACTTACTGTGGTCTGGTTTGCTTGCAAAGAATGCATCATTCTTCCAGAATAAGCATGTTTTTTAAAGCAAATGAAACCAAACAAATTCTTCGATAGGACAAATCTCATTTCAGTCGATACTGTCATATAACAGTATTCATACAATGAAGGTTTTAAATCTCAAATCCCGATGCTATTTATGTTGAGTACACACATACATATACACACATACATACAAGTAAAAATTATGGAATAAACCAAAATAGATTTCCACTAGTATAAGAAAGGGAGATTTTTAGAAGGACCTGAGTACCAGCTTTGCTCTACCCTTCCTGTGACTTTTCTTATTATGTCATTTATCATTTCTAAAAAAAATCAATTTCCTCATTGGCAAAGTTTTTGATACTTACATTAAAAATTTATCTAGAAATGGGAAAAGGTGAAGTGGTATGGCATGATCTTTCCAAATTTTACCGGAGCACTCCTGCCTTACCTAACAGGTAATTATCTTGGGAATGTACCTGTGTTCGACTCTCTATTTCATGTCTAATTAGAATTGAGATGCACTGGAACATGATTCATTCACAGATTTCTATCCAATAGGAAAGAGGATCCCAGATGCTGTGATTTATCATTCTGAAGGATATTAATCAGCTTGAACTTTGTCCTCAAATTCTTGGAATTAGTTTTTGATTCCCTTCATAAATACGTTGAATATATTTTTAGTATGTCTTCATTCTGTACTTGTGTGATACTCGTTTTTACCTCCTTATAATTATACTTCAGTAGTATTTATGTCATGGGATTATGAAAATTAAATAAAATTATGTGACTAAAGCAATTAATAAGGCTCTGACAAATATTAATAATGCATGCCTGCTGTTGTTATTATGTTATTAAATGCAGTTTGATCCACAAGAAATGAAAAATATATTATACTCAAACTCTACCTATGAATATCTATAAAGTTAAAGCAAAAGAAAATATGCTCTTAATATAAATCTCTAGTTTAATTTCCTTTAAGACTTTTGAATTCTCTAGCATCTTGACCAAGGAGTCAAGCTTTTGAAGCAATAGCCATTTCCATGGATGATGTCTCATAGTTCTTAGTACCTATAATCATAGGCAAAATAAGTATTCTTTCTCATAAACAAAAAGAAATAGAATTTTCCTCTCTCACATGGCCAGTAATATAAATTAAAAATTAAAGTAGAAATTAATATCCTTTCTCTCAAGCCTGCTTTGAAATACCCATCTGTTGTCTTTCATTTTATTTCCTTTAATTTTAATAACTTATTTCCTGTTTTTCCAAAGGTTTTTAATAGCTATGTCCTTCATATCTTCCTTTGTATCAATTCAATAACTATTGAAGGGAAAAAGGCTGAGAAGGAAAGAACCACAAGTTTCCCTCTAAAAAACCTGCTCCCTAAAAGAAACTGAAAACAATAAGAGAAGAATCATGGCCGCTCTCTCCAGTTTCATTACGATTTTTGCTGTTGTTCATGCTCAAATAACTTTCTCAGTTTATAAATCCTCAAGAAGAACTCAGTCAATTTTAGGCTTTTCAGGTTTGTTTGTTTCATAGAAACTGGCATGGAGTTAAACCAGGTTTGGCTCAGAGAAACCAATTGAATGGAATCAATTGAATAATTGAATGTGTGTTGAAACAGCACTTCAGAAGCAATTCCTTTCCATGCCAATGTCTGAAGAATGAAAAAGCATCTACGGAAAGAAACACAAGTACTGGTGCTCCAAATTTCCACTTACTGGGGAATAAAATGGAACTGGAAAATATTCTGCATTGTACACAAAACCACAGAGACCCTGGGTCATCAAATGCTTTTTAAATACCTTCAAGCATTGAAACACAACGCAGTGACCTATTGCACTCATTTGAAAAAGCAAACAAATGAATACAGGGACTTAATGTTAACATCAAACATTCAGCTGTTGCTTGGTCCTAGTCAAGCCAAGGAGAGTAAGTTGAATTTAAAATAAAGTGAAGACATAATACATGTGGTACTGAAATTTGCAGGGCTTACTTATGCTGCTAGACAACTTCAAATGTATATGTATATAGTTGTCACTCAGTATACATGGGGGATTGGTTCCAGAACCCCACGGACGTCCAAATTTGCACATGCTCAAGTCCCTTATATAAAATGCTGTCATATTTGCATAGAACCCATGCACATCCTCCCACATACTTTAAATCACCTCTACATTACTTGTAATAGCTAATAAAATGTAAATGCTACATAAATACTTGTGATTTTCCACTGCTGAGGAAATAATGACAAAAAGCTGTACCTATTCAGCACAGGTGCAATTTAGTTTTTCAAATATTTTTCATCCATGGTTGGTTGAAGTTACAGATGTGGAACTCCAGATCGAGGACTGACTGTACAAGTATAGCACTTTAAATTACACATTTCCTAACCAAAAAAAGCGTACTGTTTGCATGTTGTGTTTTGAAGTAACAGAATCACACTGAGCAAGTGAAGAAATCAGAGTTGAGGTAGTCCTCATTCAAATTCTTGACACTCAAAAAGTGTGGCCCCTGGACCAGGAGAACCAGCTTGACAGAAATATACAGGTTCAGTCTATACCTTATATCTCTTGAATAAGAATTTAGATTTTAACTGGGTTGTCCAAATGATTTGTATGCCCAATTAAGTTTGAGAACCCCTGTCCTAGCTCTGTGTGGTCTATTACCAAGAATACTAGCCACATGTGTCTGTTCAGAAATTGAAATACGATACAGGAACCCTGAGAAGCTGCAATTTTAAATTTTAAATTAAAATGTAAAAACTGTACTCTATTCAGGTATTGGAGGACTTTTAAATATGTTTGCAATAATTTCAGTATATGAATGTAAATACAAATTGAGTATTTCTGATGAAAATGTAGCAACCAAATTAACAAGTGCTGTAAGCGTAAAATACACACCAGATTTGAAAGACTGGTGTGAAAAACACTTATATGTCATTGATAATTTATAATGACTATAGATTAAATGACAAAATGTCACACATGTTGAGTTAAATTTTAAAACGCATATGCTTCTCTTTTACTTTTTAAAATGTGACTACTAGAAAATTATGGCTCACATTCTATTTCTACTGGACAATGTGGCTTTCGATCCATCATTCTCCAAGTACAAAATTACTACTGCCTGGGTCCACTTCCCAGAGATTCCGATGAAATTGGTCTGCAGTGAGCCTGAGCACTGAGATTTTTAAACTTTCTTTAGCGAGCTGCCAAAGCTTGAGAGCTACCATCTAAGGTCAATGCAGATTCATTAATTCCAACTGATAAATAACAGCAGCATAGGGACTATATATCCTTTGGAAACTCCCCATCTTTACACAACTAAAATGTACAATTACGTAACTAGTACCTTTCTTAGTTAAAGAGCATAGAGTATCCCTTCTTGATGTTAACTCAGATATTATTCTCCCTCCATTTCAGAAGGACACAACCATACTCAAATAGATGAAAACCCATCTCCAGAAATCCCTCACAGTGCTTTCAGGAATTTCTTTCCATATCTTACAAAATGGATCTCAGACTTCTCCATGTGTGGAATCTGTTTAAAAGCAAGTTTCTGGCCAAACCCAGTTATAGAAGCTGTGATAGAGTGATCAACTATCCTGGTTTGCCTAGGACTATGCCAATTTTGGTTTTAGCATAGAAAATATTGCAAATTGGGAGAGGTGGTCATTCCATTCGAGGGAAGTGCATGTCTAACAAGCAGTCCAACTAATACTTCAAGCACAGTTTGAGAACCAGTCTACAAAACATGGGATCACGAATACATTTTAGTGATCTTCTTCCTGGATTAACCAACTCTTCCCCCAAAACAGCCACTAAAGCTACACAAATATCCAGTTCAGCAAATAAGGGCAAAAATATTATTTTTCTCTAATTAAATATGCTCTCAAAGAGTTTAGAACTGTATGCAAGAATTACAAAAGAGTTTGGCCTGGCAGCCTTAAAGGGAATCTATTCCATTGTCAGAAATTTAGCAGATACAAAATCAGGGAGTCAAAGCAAGTGTGTAGCATAAAATCAAGCTGACCCTAAGCTTGACACGTCTTGAATCTGTGACTTTGGGGAAATCTCTCGACCTCTCTGTACCTCAGCATTTTCACCTGTACAAGATGAATAATTTACACATCCACTGAAGGTTATCCATCAGAATAAAAAGTGCTGTGCTGCATCGACAAATCCCAGTTGAAGGACATTCTACAACTTACCCGACCGGCACTCTTCAAAACTGCCAAGGTCATCAAAAGCAAAGTCTGATAAACTGTCATAGCGGAGAGGAGCCTAAAAAAGACAAGATGATTAAATGTAATGTGGCATCATGGAACAGTAAAGGACATTAGGTAAAAACTAAGGAAATCCAAATGCATCATGGATGGTAATTAATAGCAATGTATCAAAATGTCTATTGTTTGTGACAAATGTATTATACTAATGCAAGTCACTAATAATACATAAGTGAAAGTGGGTATAGGGTCTATGGAAAGCCTCTGTATATCTTTATAAATGTCCTGTAAATTTAAAGCTATTCTATAATTAAATAAAGTTTTCATAAAAATAAAATGCTTCTCATAGCAGTACCCAAGCAACTGTTACTTTTATTATAAACTGTACACTACAGATGACACAAACAAGAATAGCATTTTGATTAAGCATTTTCAAAAGAAAGTAGGAGCTTGAAAGCCTTGGAGGTTAGAGTTGATGGAAGAAGATGAAAGGGAAAATGAAGACATGAAAGCTGTTTATTCTGTCCAAATGCAGCCCCAGGCCTTTTACTTCTGTCACATGATCCTGTTGCTTTTCTTCCTGGCATTGTTTAGGTTCTATAATTATTTCACTTATTCAGTGTTCTTTATTCTGAGCTCCACATCTCATCTTGCCACTGATAGTCATTGGAGAGGCCTTGTCTGTCTCTGTCACTGCCGCATCCACCGTACATGGCATAGCACCTGATATCATATAGAAACTGTATCCAAATTTATTGACTGAATAAATGATACCGTTGACCACCAGAAGGTGAGGGGGAACATTCCTCTTGGATTATAATTAGAATCATTTCTACACATGTTTAGTGACCTAAACCTCCTTGTAGGTCCTTATCTCTCAAGAAATAAAAGCAAATAACCAAATCAACATAAACATTACTCCATGACCGAGTAATATCCCTTAGAGCAAAAAAGATTTCAATATTTGGGTACGGATGTACTCTCTTGCATTGCAATTTATGTTTGCAAATACAGGATACAACTTAAGTAGAAATACATTAATGATTGTTTGTACCAAGTCACAATTGTGTTTTTTACTTAACTTAAGCTTCATGAAAATTTTGTTATTTAAGCAGGGCAGATAGTTTGTATCTCCATTTGAGAGATATAAATTTTTCTTTTTTTTTTTAAATTTTTTAAATTTTTTTTTTCTGGTACCGGGAATCGAACTCACGACCTAGCGCTTGCAAGGCAGGTGCTGTGCCACTGAGCTAAATCCCCAGCCCTGAGAGACATAAATTTTTCTTAAAAAGAAGAAAAGAAGGAATTTAGATGACATCAGCACTCCCACAGTTAGTTAATAAGAAATTCTATTAACTTCTGCAACTGTGTCTAAGTCACTTTCTCATTGCTGGAACAAAATATTCAACATCCACAACTTAAAGGAGGAGAGCTTTATTTTGGCACATTTTCAATCTACGGTAAGCTGAATCCAAAGCAGAAATGGCGTGGTGGAAGACCCTGGTGGAGGGACACTGCTCATATCATGGGGGCAAGGAAGCAGAGTAAAGGAAGGTGCCACGGAGGGAAATGGTTTTAATGTCGCACCTGTAACTAGTTAGCACTTCCTAGCAGCTCAGCTCATTAGGCGATGAATCCACTGATAAGTGTTGTACCCTCAAGATCCAATCACCTTCCAAAACCCCCCCCTCTGAGTACATGAGTCTTTCAGGGGACATTCTAGATCTAAATTATAATGCTCTGTCCCTGGCCCCCAGAAGGCTCACGTCCATCTCTTTATGCAAAATATATTTAGCCCATCTCTAAGAGTGGGCCAAGCCCTAACACTTTAGCATGGCTGAAAAGTCGAAATCCAAAGTCTCCTCAAGACAAACTCTTAGTTGCGAGCCACGCAAAAGTCAAGAAAGGTAAACCCTTCCAACATACAATGGTACAGCGTAAACATTGCCATCGCAAACAGAAGAAATAGGGGAGAAAAAAAAACAGTAGAACCAAACTAAGACTAAAATCTAGCAGGACAAACATTAAATCCTATAGCCTTCTGTGCAGCACCAGGGTTGAGTCATGGTGAGATATGAGTTCTAAACAGCTTAGGCAGCCCACCCCCGAAGAGCATTGCTAGTTGTAGCTGTAATGGCCTCTCTTTTGGGTTTGCTCACTACTTATAGCTTTCCTCAGCAGATGTCCCACATTTCTGGCTCCTCCAACTTCCTGGGATCTCCACTGAATTTTTGGCTTCACTTTCATAGGTTTATGCATTGCCTTCATGCACTGCATCATATACTTATTGGCCTGCTAGGCCTTCTGAAATTTGGAAAAAAAAAAATCAGAAGCCCCCTTGATTCTACAACTCTTGAATTTTGCATGCATGTAAAACCAGCACCACATGGATTAAGTCAAGATCTGCTGCCAGTACATGCTATTTAGTTCATGGCTATAAAGGCCTCCAAGTGCCTGCATAGCTGAGCACTGAAACAAATCACAGAGAATGAATGCTCTAGGCAGCTCTTCTAAAGCAGGATGCTCTGGGGCTCTATTCTCAAAGCAAAGTATTTCAAAAGAGTTTACCATTACCTTTTTACCCCTTTGGGTCTGAAGGGTGGGGTCTTGCTAATTCCTGAGATGCTCTCAAGGCACCTTTCCTATTGTCCTATTGCAAATTAATTAGTTTCTTTGTATACTAATCTTTTTTAACAACCAACCTCTCCATTGGCTCAACTTTGTAGGAGCTGTTTTATCTGGCAAAACTGGAAACTTTTTATATCTTTAGTAACTATGCTGTCCTTTGCCCCAACTTTGTAAGTGGTTTTTTTCTAATGACATAGAGAACATTTCAAATTATTTCACTCTGCCATTTGCTCCCATTTCTCACTGTAGATCTAACTAAAAGCCATCAGCAGTACCTCTGCCAAAGCCAGGCAGTTGGGCTGCTTTGAAATTTCCTCCGCCAGATTAATTATTCTGCCACTCTTAATCTCAATCTTCTCTAAAGTCTCAGAACATAGGCAAAATGTAGATAAGTTTTCTGCCAGAGCATAATACACATGGTTGAGTCCAGCTGCCAATGGAGACGTTGTTTCCAACAAACCCCTCCTGAGCCTCACCTTTACTGTCCGCATTTCTATCATCATTCTTATCTTCTGAGCTCTGAGCAGAATCTCCCATTAAGCTCAGTTTACAGCATTCTAGGGCTTCTCTAGCCAACATCTGCAAACTCTTCCAGACTCTTCCTACAACCCAGTTCCAAAGGCTTTGAAACCACATGGTCAGGTATAGTTTTGACAACCATTCCACTTATCATACCAAAATCTATCTATCTAGTCACTTTTTCACTACTGAGACAAAACACCCAACATACATAACTTAAAGGAGGAGAAGTTCATTCTGACTATGGTTATAGTCCCTGGTGTGCTGGCTCCAAGGCAGGCAGTGTCTGGTGAAAGGGCCTGGGAAGAAAGCTGTTCATATCATGACAGCCAGAAAACTGAGAGAGAAGAGAGGGACAAAGGAGGGAGATATACTCTTCCCGGTCACACCCACAGTGATCCACTTCTTGCAACTAGGCCCCAACTTCTAACAGCACACTTAGCTGCTAAACTCATTAGGAGATGAATCCACTAATGAGTATACTGTTCCTCTGATCCAACCACCTTTCAAACACATGAAGCTTTTGGAGGACACCCCATATCTAAACCATTACAAGCTAGCATAACAGAGTATCACAGACTGGGTGTTTTAAAAGCAGTTCTGGAGGCTGGAAGTACAAGGTCAAGATGCAGACAACATCTAGTGAGACCTCTGTCCTCTGCTCACTGTGTGGCCTTTTCTCTGTGTATGGAGAGAAGAGAGGAGAGGAAGGGAAGGGAGGGGAGGAGCGGAGAGAGCATGTATTCTAGTGTCTCTTCCTCTTATAAGGACTCCAGTCCTGTCTAATTTGGTTTCTACTATTAATAGTTTCATTTAAACTTAATTAACTCCTTAAGCATCCTATCTCCAAATACTGTCACATTAAAGGTTAGACTTTCAACATATGAATTGGGGTTGGGGGGCACATAATCCAGCTCCTTATAGGAATGTTCTCTGACAAGGGGGAGGAAGGTTTATATGATATGGAAGGAGGAGCTAATACTTGCTGAACAGGGAGGAACTAACCGTTAGACCAGAGATCAGCAAACTATGGCCTTTGGGCCCAATTTCAGGGCAGCTCTCATTTTGTCAGTAAACTTGTTGAAGTACAGCCACACCCCTTACTTTACATATTATTCATGGCTGCTTTCCTGCTACTATGGCAGAGGTGAGTATCTTGCACAGATATATGGCCTATAGAGTCCAAAATATTTACTCTATAGCTCTTCACAGAAAACAATGTGCCAATTCCTGAGTTAGACAAACATATGATGGTTTATTTTATCCACAAAATAACACCACAAAGTCAGTATTCTTATCACTTCACTCTGGAGGTAGTGGAGGCTCTGAGAGGCAAAGTGACAAATATATTCATATAACTGGCAGGGAGAGTCCAGAGCAGCCCCTTGATAGCAGGAAAGGGTGTCCTTTCCTGACCCCCCTCACCACCAGGCTGACGGTTTTTCTCTTAGGACTCAGAATTGTGTATGGATGTGGCTGGGAGCCCGAGGCCTGGGGAAGTTATCTGGCTCACACAATGGCTTCCCACAATTCTACCAGCTCAAAGGTCAAAGACTATTGTCACTTAGTCCAGAACATTCCTTCATCTCGCACCTTATCAGTAGTGACTACAGTTATCTTAGGATCCTTGATTTCTTCACATCTTGTGGTTGTTTTTGGTTTATGTGTTATGCCAGGGCATGTGTTTTATATGAATAGGATTTACATAGAAAATAGATCACTCACATTAAAGGAGCCTTGCAAATAATTATGTAGACCTTAAGGGGTTTTCAGGGATAATTTTGAGACTCAGAGTCCTAAAAGTAATTGTTGGTGTTTCTCATTATTGGACAGAATATATTCCCTTCTCCATGTTTGGTATCATACTGATCGAACTGTCCGTACTATACGAGTAAGATGGTAATGTGATTA